AGTGCTCCTCCATGTTTCTGATTAGACTGAGAACTATACTCTCCTTTGTCTACTTGCTCCACTTGATGTTGTAAAGATCTCTCCATAGTACAGATGCCTTTGGCAGCCATGCAGTGGGTGGGCTTTGTATCTCAGTAGCTAGTTACCCTGTGCACACAGCTTTTGGATGAGGATCCATGTGCTGGGGGCAGGCTGGCCGTGGGGGGTGTGGCTGAGTTGCAGGGCTGGGCATCAGTGCTTGGGCCTTTGTAGCTTCCTGCCAGCCTCCAACTGTATTTGTGCTCTGCTTTTCCTGGTCACTTCCTGATGTTTGCTTCTGCACTACTAAGCCTTAGTGTATCTGCCAACTCACTGCCCTCCTTCTGTTTTCCATGTTTTTTGCCGCAATGACAAAACATTATTCACTTGTACCTTTAACATATATGTCTTATATTTCTTCCCTCTTTCATCACATTGTGTCTGTAACTTAATCCCTTTTGTAGGACAAGTATTGTTCCTACTCTTTTCTCAGTCCCTCTTAATCTCCATCTTCTCGTCTTATCAAAGATTAGAGGTTTCTGTTGTGTTCTACAGTTGCAGTGGCTTGTTCTGTGCTGTGCACAAAGGTTTGGTTCATTCTGAACGTCAAGCAGCCTGGATTTGCCCCAGCAGGTCATTCAGAGTGACCAGCCAGGACCATTTGAGGGTAGATGAGTCCTGTAGCAGGGTCATTGGCACCTTCTACTTCCTGAAGCCTTGCCAGAGTGTAACATGTACAATGTGTTGAACATAACTTATCCAGCTTTAAAAACTTTGTTGTGAAATGTATCAATACCCAAGATACCCACAAAGTAAAAATGCACAGCTCACCTGTTAAACCTTCCATTCCTGGGCCCACACCTGACCCCAGAGCCACCATTGCACAGACAAATCTTGCCCCCCATCCCCTAAGCACTAGAGTTTAGTGTTTTTGGAAAGTTATGTAAATAAATTATTTGTGAATGTTTGTTTTCTTTGCTGTATGGTATTCCCTGTTTACTTCACAGCAGCAATGCTACCCAGTTGCTATGAACATTTTGTACATTCTCTCTGTGTATTTGCAGTTGCATTTCCTTTGGACATATTCCCAGAATAAAATTAATTGCTGTACGATGGTGCCTGGTTCATTCTATCATTTTACACTTCCATCAGAATAAATGAGCTTCCTTTGCTCCACATTTTCCCCAATACTTGGCATATGATTTTGGTTTTAGTTTACATTTCCTTGATTACTAGTGAAGTTGAGAACTTATTGTCTACTTACTTATTTTTTGGAATTCCTCTTTTGTAGAATGCTCATGTAAACCTGTGTTTATTTTTGTATTAAATGGTTTGCCTTTTTCTTAGTGATTTTTTTTTTTTCCGGAGCTCTTTGTATATTGTGGATATTAGCTTTTTGTCAGTTATGTATTCTATAAATAGAACTCTTCAAATTCTCTTTCCATTTTTCTCTTTCTGTTTTTGAAATATTCTTTTCCTTTTGGCAAAGTAACCTTTAATGAATAAAAGCTCTGTCTAGCTTGTGATGATTCAGAACTTTCAGACTGTTCACGGTAGGTCCTTCCTTGTTTCCTTCCTTTCTTCTGTCTCTGTCCTTTTCTTTTTCTTTTCATTTTTTTGAGACAGGGTCTTGATAGTGAGTCCAGGCAGGCCTAGAGCTCACGCCTCCATCTCCTAAGTGCTGGAAATAGTCATGGGCCACCACACTCAACTCATGGTAGGCATTTCTTATGAGGTTGACACTTTTCACTGTCTCCTTTTAATACAGCTATGACCTTGGCATTTAGATCTGCCATCTGTCTGGGGTAATTCTGTGTGTGATGTGAGACAGGGACTAGGTTATGTTGTGGCTATCAAGTTTTGCTGTGGTGTTAGTGGGTCAGAACCATCTTTCCCTCATAGCCCAAAGTGCTCCTTGGTCCTGTGTGAACACCTGTTGTGGGTATAGAACCATGTCTACTCTCTCCTCCTTCCTGTTCTGGCCACCAGTGCCAGTGCCATGCTGTGACAGTGCCATGCTGTTTTAATCATTGTTGCTTCACCTTTTTAACTGACTTTAATTTATAAATTAATACTTACGTAGCATGAGTTTTTTTTCTTTTTACTTTATGCCTGAGGGGTTTTTTTGTTCTTGTTTTTTCCTTATTCTTACACCAGTCTGGAGTCTGGGGTTTTCTACTAGCCAGGCTTGCCTGCACAGAGAAGCAGGCTGGATGTGGTACAGGGGAGGGGGGCGGAGCAGCTGCAGTCTGCTGACCTGTGCCAGCAGGGCCTCATTCCTCAGGAAAAGCACTGGGAGTCTCACGGTAGTACTCTATGTTGCCTCCTAAGTCTCTGAGCAAATTCAGCTGGGAGTTTTGAAATCCTAAATCTTCTGTACCTGGCTCTGGCTTTGCATGTCTTGTTAGTGTTGGTTTTCCTCAAGGTGCCCCGCATGGCTGGCAGGACTTTCTTTACTGGTGGTGGATGCAGACATCATGGGGCACCAGGCTGTTGTCCTTGTGCCACCCATTCAGTCAGCTCCACCTGGACATTCTTCCTGAGCTGCACCAGCAAGATTGGATAGATAGAGCCTTCCACATTTAGTGGGAGCTTCCACAGGCTGTAGCTTTTCTCACTCAGGTTCAGCCTGCTTCCAAACATTTTTGTGTCTTGGAAGAATATGTCCCCAGACCCTTAGTCAGTGGAAGAATATGTCTGTAGGCTCTCTGCTATTTGAAAATTGCTCTATCGTTACTTCTGCATCTTTGTTTCAGGAGAAGGGAGCTCTGGGAGATCAGGAGACTAATTGGTGGTCATTAATCTGCAACCACTGTAGGCTTGCTAGGTAGGCACTCTGCCACTTGAGCCACTCCAGCAGCTCTGTTTTGTGATGGGTTTTTCAAGGTAGGGTCTCGTGAACTTCTTGCCCAGGCTGGCTTTGAACTGCAGTCCTCCTGATCTCTGCCTCTTGAGTAGCTAGAATTACAGGCATGAGCCACTGGCTCCTGGCAAGGTACCCCACTTTTGTGGTGGAAAACTGCAGAATGTGGAATTCATAATTCCATGTAGAAAGAGATGCCATCTCTGGCCTCAGCCACCTCAGCATGTGGATGGGTGCATCACAGGGGAGGGACCAGGAAGTAGATAGCTTTGCTTGCCTTGTCCCTCTCCCCAGAATAACTTTACATGTGTTCTTATGTCAGTTAAACACCACAAGTGTACTTTGCAAGGTTTTATCACTTAATCTTGAAAAGGTGTTATGCAGCACTGTATTGCGATCTGGAAGCAAGCCTGTGGACAAGGGGTAGATTGATAACTAGCAAGACCTTGACAGACAAGAAGAGCTAGGGAGTGGGGCCACCATGTCATACTCTGTAGACCCCAGTGAGTTAGTTACAGAAAGTGCTTCATCCAGCATGGCTTCTTACCAAGGGAAGAGGGCCTGAAAGTGTGTGTAGCGTCATTGGCCTGAACTCTGTGTGTGTGTGTGTGTGTGTGTGTGTGTTGCTGGGGCTTGAACTCAGGGCCTATGCCTTGAGCCACTCCACCAGTCTTTTTCATGATGGGTTTTTTTCTACATAGGGTCTCACAAACTATTTGCCCGGGCTGGCTTCGTACTGTTATCCTCCTGATCTCTGCCTCCTGAGTAGCTGAGATTACAGGCATGAGCCACCAACGCCCAGCTCTGAACTGTTTTCTAACAGTGGGGTGGGGGTGGGGGGTACTGACTGTTGAGAAGATGTAGCAGACATGTTTTTCCCCTCATTCTTTCTGTCAGCACTGTTGAAAAGCTAGGGTGCAGGTGAAGCATGCTCTGAGAGTGTGTGTCCACAGAAGAGGACAAACGAGGCTGGACAACAGAAGTGTTAAATGTACCGGCTCCCAGAGAGGCTGCTGCACATACTGGTGTTCAGGAGGCAAGAAAGGAGCCAGGGAAAGGGAGGGCAAGGTAGAGCAGATGGCTCAGGACGGAATTGTTTGAAATCCTTTTGGGTTTTGTGACAGAAGGTTGGTCTCTCGTTGTACTGTACCTGCCCTGGGGTGATGAGCACAGGGATCAGTTGCCTTGTGTATGATGGTTGGATAAGTAACTGGTTTATTTACAGGTGAGCCCATGACTCTGAGAATTGGTTTCAGGCCAGCAAGCATTTTAAGATGCCAAATTACCATAAAATACATGATCAATACAGAATGTGTCCTAGGATTTCTTGGAAAATTAGGCCCAACTGAAGTGTCTCGTTCTGTGTGCATGGAATGGAACCTTGAAGCCTCTTGCACATCCTCCAGGGCTCCCTCAAAGTATCACCTGCCTGTGCCTACTATCCAGACGTTTTATTTAGGAGAAGTTGTGGAATTGCTTTATGAAAAGCGGAATGTTACTCTTCCTACCTTCTACCTGGGGGTGTGAGGGACAGGAATTGTTTCCAGTAGTGAGCAGGTATTGGATGCTGAGCCCGGAAGTTGTGATTTGACAGGCCTGAAAGCCAGAGTGCTTCTGGGTATTTGTGTGACCTTGCCTGTTGGGCAGGAGAGGGAATCACTGTGTGTACAGCAGGAGCAGAGCCCCTAGGACCCACTGTCCCACCCAGCCCCTCTTCACTGTAGGTGTGGTCTCTACCAGAGGGGCCCAGAATCCAGACACTGGTGACTGCAATCCAGCACAGGCCATCAGGATCCTTGCAAGTCATTGCTTTCTACCTCCCTGAGCTGCTTGACCCACCTTGCTGTCTGTCATGCAGCACAGCCAGTGTTCCTTGCTGCTGGTGACCCTTGGAGCTGCTTCCTGTAGTGGGAGGCCCCTGGCCCCGGTCCCTGCACAAAGTGGGACCACTGCAAAGTAGTTGCACACCTTAGCTGGTCAGTCTATTTGGTTCTGGTCAGTCTGTTCTCCATCCCCACCCCTCCCCATGAAGTTGACCAGGTTTTGTGCTGTCTCTGGGTTCAACACCTTTTAACCTTCTGTGTCTTTTAACTCTTTTTTTAAACCTCTTTTGAAGCAGACAGTTGATGACGAAGCGATGGCAGCATAAATGAAGATCAAGTGAGGGGAGCAGAACGATGCCCAAGGGTGGGTGTTCTAAAACACCACAGCAAGAAGACTTTTCTCTCAGCAACGACATGGTGGAGAAACAAACTGGGAAAAAGGTAACACCCTTTAACCCTCACCTAGGGGTCACCATTTGTGCCCACTATGCTCATCGCTGCAGCTCGGCAGTCTGCTTTCAGCTCACCTTGTAAAGCCTGTTTCATCAAGAGTGGACAGTGCCCTTGTGAGTGGGTGTGTGAAGAGCCACCCTGCCTGAAGGGGCTTGCTTACATCTGCCAGAGCTGAGCTTTCAGTTGTAGATTTGCGTTAAATAGTTGCTCTCCGAGGCAATCTCAATTTGGCTGCCCATTTCTGGTCTCAGAACCCCAGGATTTCTGTCATGGTTTTAGTGAGATCCATCAGTTAACTGTGTTTCAGTCATTCTGGGTATAAACACTGAAGAATTTCATGTACAACTTTTGTTTATTCTAGAAGTGAGTAAGAAAACAATGTAAATCTAAGCCAGCAGAATTTAACCAGTGTACTGTTAACACCAGGTTCTGGTTGTGTACTTCCTCTCTTCCGTGCTGACTTCCCTTAAGCATCAACTTGTAATTGGACAGAATGCAGCTCAGGTTCATGCTTTGCCATCTGTTATTTTTATAGACATTCTAATACCGAGCCCATTAGCTGCCCTGAGACTTGGTTTCCTAGGTTGCGGGGGGCTGGGGAGGGGGTGGCGGTGAACATGTACCTCTGAGCTGAAAAGAAGTGCTGTGCGTCAGGGAACCGACACCCACAGAATGTGAGTTCATTTAATTCTCTTGCTTGTGTGACTAGCTATCCATACTGTGACCTCTGGTCCTCAAGTTTACTGCTGGATGAGTGGCATCACCTTGATACAGTTACTGGCCACTAGTTGTTTTGAGCTGCTCCTCCAGCTCAATCTTAAAACCCTTGACCTAGTACCTGGGCTGTGAAAGAAGGTCCTAAGAACACTGCCTCATAGGTCTGTCATTATGCCCTTCTTCTGCTTTGCTTTGTCTCAGTCTCTCTGATAATACTCTGGTTTACAGTGGTACGGGGTCAGCAGGTATTCCACATGTGAAAATTAACAAGGAGGGTCATTTATTCATTTAGTTTTAGTTGAACATGAAGTGGTTTGTGAACATGTACACACTTAGTGCTATTTAGACAAGAGAAGCTACATGTACGTGTGAGACCCTTGGATGTCTGGAAAGCATGCCATTGTCCTCTCTCACATGCTCCCTCTGAAGTGCCTTGGGCCATGTGCTGGAGTGGGTAGGCACTGTGGTGGCATGGAGCCACCAAGCAGGCTGAGACTGAGACTTGTGCTAGATCAGTACCACACACTGCTGAGTGTGCACTGGTGGGCGCTGCATACATCTGTGAGCCCTTTGGAGGGTCCTGCTTAGCTCTTGGGATAGGCATGTACTCTGAGTTCATAAAATGGACCTGGTTTTGGGGCAGATGTTCAACCTACTACTTGGGGCCAGTTGGAGATGGGTGTGGTGGTGTTTTACCTCTAGAGGGTAGACTTGGCTCTTGAGAGGTGTGTGCTGCATGGTTCCTGCTTGCCTAGTTTGGATCAAAAGCTTCTTGTGTCAACATGGTTGATACAAATAGAAGTTCCAGAACCCCAAAATGTCCGCAAGAGACTGGGGCCATTTTTGTGCTTGGACCCAGTTCCTGGCAGGTTTTAGGGTGGCGATAGCTATGGAGGTCAAGGCTAAAACTCTGCAGGCCTTGCAGTCAGATGGAATATAGAAAGCACATAGGAAGAGGAACTCTAGTCCTCACACTGACAAGGTTTATCATCTGTGTTGCTTTTTTCTGAGTGACAGTCTGACAATGATGAGCAAGTAATGGAGGAATAACTAATGCTTCCAGCACAGTTCTCAGAAGTTGTTGTGGAGGCTGTGATATCTGACGTGCTTGGCACACTGTGGGCTGGGCATGAAGGGAAGAAGGTCTAGGCTGGGGCCCTGTGGATAAAGGCTGAACTGTAGAGCGCAGGCAGCAGTGACCCAAGATGAAAGCTGTAGAAATAGGGTTGTGTTGGCCTTGCGGCACTCCACCCCCAGTTGCCCCTACTGTGCCTCTGTCCCAGGTGGCTGAGCACTGAGGTGTTCCATGCTGGTTTGGCTTGTTACCTTTTACCTGAAGAGAAGATAGGGGCTGAGCTGAGCCCATCCTGAGACTGCAGGTACAAACTGTGTCTGAACACTGGCTGTGGGAGGTACATGAATTAGACTTAGATTTTTTTTTTTTCCTCAGTAAGGTTGCTATGCCCTAGTTTTTTATTGTTACTGTTTTTGTTTTTTTTAACTTTGCCTCCTGGAGGCTGACAGACATAGCCCTGAAGTTGCTGCATAACAGTGGCAGCAGCACTCAGTGCTAGTGGAGCTTTCCTAGTTTATCTGGTGACTTCAGATGGAGTCTGGGAAGAGGCAGTTCCAGATGTAGCATTTCTGTGCCTGCTTGTTAGGGAGTGCAGAGGATCCCATGTCAAAATTCTAGGGCATTAAGGAGGCCCTCCCTGCTGGTGGTGAGCCCTAACTAACTGTCTTCTGCCATTTCACCATGTGCTGTTTCTTTACATGTAGTTACATGTTAGCAAAACCAACGTATTTTGGGATTTTTTTTTTCCAAACTAATCATGAGCTAAATAAAGTATTTCTGGATGAACAGGGACACTTGGTTGTGTAGCACATCTTGCCTTGGGCCCATCAATGACATGGACTAGCACACTGGAGAGAAAATGCTTCCTCAGGTCTTCCTGTAAGTTTCTGCTGAAGAAATGACTATGGAATTTCCAAGCTGGAGGTAGCTTCAATAGGAACCAATCAACCACTATTGAGGGTATTCTGGTCCAGAGAGCCAAAGAGCTGTCATGGTGTCCAACACTGCCATCCTGCAGTAGGCCATCACCCTTGATGCTGCACCACTTAGAGAGGAGAATGTAGAAACAGCCTCCCTTGAGGTTCTTAAGGTGTATTCTAGAGCAAAACTTCAACTGAGAACCTGCCCCTCAAAAGACCCCATGAACAGAAGGAAACTGTCACTTCAGCTGCTCAGAGGTAGGGTGGTACCACAGTTTCCCTTCTCCTCCTCATGCTGCAGGAGGAACAAGAAACTATATCCAAGAGCAGGGTCCCAGAAAGGAGTAGATGCTGTTTCCCTGGCCCCTGGCTGAGAGTCAGCTTATCTCAGGGTTCCACACAGGCTTTCGTGTTGAAACTGGCAGAGAGGCAAAGTCATATGCCATATTGTCCCAGATGGATTTTTGGAGAGAGTGAGTATTGGCTTTTGGGGTATCTATCTGTTCCTTTTGCTAGGGCAGAGGGGAGAGGTACCAAGCCTTGCCAAGTTTGGGTCCTTTTCTCTCCCCAAACCAGTCCTGAGGCCAGGGACAGAGTCCATGCCAGCCAGCCCAAGTGGGACCCACAGGTCAATTAGAACTTCCATGTGGTTTCTTCTTTACATTGGCTTCCCCAGTGCTTCCCCACATTCAAATGAAGCAGCGCCCATGCATTGCTGTCTCTTGTCATCTCCCCCAGAGGGTCAGTTCTGAGGGAGCCACCTATCCTCCCACGTCCCCACTGCTCCAGCAATGCCATCAGTGTTGTCACTGTAGGAATGCTGAGCAGAAACTCTATGATGATTTTTACCCTACATTCCTCTTCCTGGCTCTAACAGAGTAAAACAAAACCCTCTCACTTACAGAAAAAAGGTTCAGAAAGCCCCTTTACTTGAGGTACCTGCTGGTGGTATGGCTCCTGCACTACCCCTGTGGCGATACAATGGGGGTGCTGTGCTTACCCTAGTTTCCCTTCACTGTTGCATAACTCATGGAAATTAGTCAATACATTTTTTTCTTCCAGAATTCATACTTTTTTTTTTTTAAAGATAGGCAAATGCAAGGTCACCAGACTTTTTCCCGTGTTTCCTTCTATAAGTTGATGACTTAGTTCTTAGAGAAAAGTGTGATTCATTTCTAGTTTTGTACATGGTAAAAGGCAAGGTAGAGGCTCATAAATACTGATTTGTTTCATCCATTTAGGGTGGTCTGCATCCTTGTAACATGTGGTGTTTGCCTTAGTTTTAATCACTTTGATAGGTGTATTATACTCAGTGTAAAACCAGAGATACTACGGGAAAACTACAGACCAAGTAGCCTTGTGAACCCAGATACAGAATTTTAAAAAATAATTTTAGCTGATTGAATTCATCAATATATAAAAAGGATGTGCCATGATCAAGTGGGGTTTATACCAAGAATTCAAGGTTTATGTACCACCCAAAATCAATCAGTTCAGTTCATTATGTCAATAAACTTAAAAAATAAAACCAGGTGATTTTATCAATTGATTCAACAAAATTGGAAATTTTAAAACATTCTTTGCAATAACATCAAAAGTACAAATTATTTTGGGATACTTTTGATGAAAGATGTGCTGTGCCTTGAAAGTATAAAAATCACTTAAGAGAAATTAGAAAGACATCAAAAGTGGTGAGTTATACAATGCTGATTGGTCAGAAAGAAAGTTCTAAATATTGCTTAGGTGCATCCTTGCCCATTTGATGAATCGATTCAACATATTACCATTATAATCTCTGCAGGCACTTTGTAGAAATTGATAAGCTGATTGTAAAGTTCATAAGGAAATTCAAAGAACCAGTAATAACCAAAACTGCTTTGGACACTGGAAGAACTAAGGTCTCTGAATCTAATATTTCCTTTAAAGCTATAGTACTAAGATAGTGTGTGGCATAAGGACAGGGACTGGGTAAGTGGAGCAGAATGGACGACCTTGGACCACACACACACATGTCCACTGGTGTTCACAGAGGTGCCAGATCTGCTCATTGCGTAGAAACAGTGGGAACAATTGGGCTAACACATTTAGGCTGTTACTGGTCAATACTATTTTTGTTCTTACTGGATTCTTTCAGTGTTGGTCACTGGTATATGAGAGTTAGGTCAGTTCCCAGGGTGAAATTACATGGATCATGACCATTTTTCAAACAGTTAACAATTTTCTGTTTCCTCTGTGTTTCCCGTGGTGGGTGATTAAAAACCAGCCTTTCTGTCTGTGCTTTGTATATGTAGATCTCTGTCACATGATGGGTCTGTGATTGGCCATGTGCCAAACTTGTAACCACCACAACAACTGTTTTTAGGGCATATCAGGGCTAACGGGAGGTACCTGATAAAGACTGACTTTAATGTTTAAGACGCTAGCTTTTAGGAAGTGAGCATTTTATAATGTGTACATTAGTTTCCTGTTGTGATTCCCGTTTTTCTGGTAAGGAATGTTCAGAGAGATCGAACACGCTGCCCTGCCACCCAACCCAGGCTGCATAGCAGCCCAAATTTACCCCAAGAGTCTCTTAGCACTTGTGCAGCTCTGGGTTGGGCTTCATGTTATCAGTTGCATTAGTCAGTTTTGTCATTGTGACCAAATACCTGGGAGAAATTTATTTTGGTTCATGGTTTCAGAGGTCTCAGTTCATGGTTACTTGCTTCCATCACCAGGGGTCTGTGTGAGGCAGGTTATCATGATAGAGAGAGTATTCCTGCAGGAGGGAAAGGGAGGGGGACACTACTCCTGGTTACTTACTTCCTCCAGCCAGGTCACACTTCCTAATAGTACATTCAGCTATGAAGTCATCAATGGATTAATTCATTGATAAGGTTAATGGCCTCATTATCTAACCATCTCTCAATAACACCACTAGCTGGGGGCCATGCCTTCAACACCTGAGCTTTAGGGAAATTTTATATCCAAACCATAACATCAGAATTTGCATTTCTTTGCACAGCTTGTTACATAGGTAAGTAGCTGGGAGTTTTAAAGTTTTGGGGAACTTTTTTAGTGAAATAAAAATGCACAATTGTAGCTTATATCTCACTTTAAAAACGAGGGACGGTCACCAACCAGAGGAAGACGGAACACTGTTTCCAGAATTTGGGGGGCCTTTGTGCACTGTCTCTAATCAGTGACCTCCTCCATGTCCAGCAACCTCCATGTTCACAGTACTCTTTGCTCTAACTTGTCGCCATAGATAAGTTCTGGCTGTCAAGAGTGAGATGAGGGAGTCAGTTGTTTAGCTTTGTATCTGGCTTAGAAGGTTTTCCTGTCTGTAGTTCTCTCCCGTATTGCTGTGTAGTTATCCATTGTATAGAGATTCTGTGATTTAGTCATTCTTCTGTTAATGAATATTTGGGTTCTTTCCAGATAAGTGTTGTCATAAACACATGTAGGCTGGAGTTTTCCCCACAGTGGTAAATGTGGCCAGATAGTTTGTCAAAGTGACTGCATTTCCCAAAACAGTGAGAATTCAAGTTGATCTGCATCCTTCTGATGTAGCAATGCTGGCTTAGTTTTAATCACTCTGATAGGTGTACAGTGGTATCTCGTGTTTGTTTATGTGTGTGTGTTTCTGTTAATCTGCTGGTCATGAAAGTGCTCTCCCATGCTGCCTGCATGTTTTTGATTGTCTAGAGTTGTGTTGAGTGATGTGGGAGGGGAGGTCAGGGTAGAGAGCCACATGGTCCTATCCTTGCCCTTCTGTGTGGCTTGGTGTATGGTTCTCACTTCTGCTTCCACTTGTGAAGGCCCTTCCCCCTCCTCTAATGCTTTATCTGGGACCACATGTTTGATTACCACAACTTTATGGTCTTGATATCTGGCAGTATAAGCTGTCGTTCAACTTTGGTGTTCTTCAACATTGCTTGGCGTTTTTTTACCTTTTATATTTCCAAGTACAAACTGATTATTTCCACACCAGCCTGCTGGGAGTTTGATTGAATTATTTCAGATATAAAAATCAGTGTGGGGCTGGAGGTGTGGCTCAAATGGTAGCGTGGTTGCCTAGCAAGCACAAGGTCCTGAGTTCAAATTCCAGAACCACACAAAAGAAGCAAAAGAAAAATTCAATGACTCAGCGTGAAGTGAAATGCCATAGTATTTTTGACTCTTGTAATCCATGAATTTGTATGAGTGGTATCACTTCTTCTTGAAATGTTGGGTAAAATCTATCTACTGGACCTGTTGTTTTCTTGGAAAACCAAAAAGTGTTTTAATTGCAGATTGGAATCTGTGTGTGATGCAGTCCATTCCTGCCTAATGTTGGAGAGGCATAGTCCAAGGATTCCTCTTTTGTTCCCAGTGGGGGCATCTGTCTACAGTGGACCTGGAATAAGATGGCAGCTATGCCCACGTCCTGTGCTTGCCCATTTGGAGGACAGGGAGTGAGTGTTGCCCGTCCATGTTACTCTGTCACCTAAGAAGTCCTTCCTCATGCTGACACACTACCCTAGCTCAGAGCTTGCAGCACGCTCTGGCAAAGGTCTTCCATAGTCATTTGAGGAATGTCTTCGTTACCGCCAACTTCAGTAAATTCAGAGGCTGGCTGATCAAGCTGGAGGAAGCACCAGGGTCACAGGAGGCAGGACTGTGGTCAGGCTGGTCTTGGTGCAGTGCCAGGAGGAGGCATGTGCCAACCCATTGCTCTTAGGGCGTCTCCAGCAATTGCACAGTGTTTGCCAGCAGTTTATCTGGGGAAGATTCCAGAAAGAAAGCTATTGGGGGTAGGAGCACTGTTCTTTTAGTGACCATACCTTCCTGTGAGATAGCAGCAAGTTAGAGTAGCTGCCACATCTGTGTACCACAGAGGCAGCATGCATGGGCCAGAGTCTTACCTGCAAAGAAAGTCATGGCTAGAACCTCCCACTGAAGTCTGAACTAGGAGACCAAGGACTCAGAACTGGCCACACCTTGTCCATTTCAAGGCATGGAGTTGAATAGACTTGATAAACCTCCACTGAGTATCCCCTTCTAGGTCAGCCTGGGCTTGGGCGTGGGGTGTCCCCTCCTGGGTCTGGCTGCAGTAGCCATGGAGCTCACCCTTGCTTTCCAAGACAAGTTTCCATTCCTTGTGCAGCAGCTGGGTCTGTCACAGGGAGGGGCCTCTTGCCTCCACCATTGTGTTCCACCTCCATCTGGGCTTCAGTATCTGTATGTTCTCCCACTTAACACAGCCCCATGTTCTACCATGTCCACATGCATTTTGTGACCCATGAGCCAATTTGGCACATTTTAGGGGATTGCAGAGGTCACAGGAAGCTCTGTTTCCTGAGCATTCATGTGCATAGTGCCTGGCTTCCACCTTTGAAGATGATCTCTCTGCCCACTCTGCAGAAGCTTGAGAAAAAGAAGCTTGAGGTTTACATAGGTTAACCAGCTGATGGGGGGGCTGGAATTGGGGCTCCTGAAACCTTACCCTGCAGGAGAGACCCTCTTGCTAGCCCCTTGAGTTGGGACTGCAATCAGGTTGGCATCTCTGGGTTTCTGTCACTTGTAGACTTTCTTCCTGATGACAGCCTTGTAGTTTCTCAGGACCAGGATGAGAACAGGAAGGGGTTGCTTCAGCAGAAGGGCAAAGGTGCAACCTATCAGCATGAGATGGGTGTGGGGAGAGAACCATGGTGGCTGCAGTCACCCGAGGGTCTTACACTTGGTATAGGTGATCATGCACCTTTGAAGGCCTCTGCTGATCATTCCTTCCGCATGAGAGTTCATGGTGGAGAGTGTGGTCCCACACTGAAGGCTGAACTCTGGTTGTTTCTCATTATTCATATCTCCCGAGGAAAGTGTTGTGGTATAAGAGGAAACCTGTGCTTCTGTCTGCTGTGCTCTTTTCATGCACACACTTGTCCTCAGCAGGCATTTCTCTAGAGCCCTTCAGGTGTAGGAAGAGCTGTGTTAGGGCCAAACCACAGTCAGACTTCAGCTTCTGTCTTTGGCACCACTGGAGCCTGCCTGGCACCATACTTATGACCTGGGGCAAGAGGGGCCAAATTGCCCCAATAAAAGGTATGCTTTTCTTGGCTCATGAAGCAAAATCATAGCTGACTTGAGGATTCAATTTGGGAGTAATGTCTGAAAGTGGCACTTTCTTTTCTAGGATAAAGATAAAGTTTCTCTAACCAAGACCCCAAAGCTGGAACGCAGTGATGGAGGGAAGGAGGTGAGAGAGCGAGTCACCAAACGGAAGCTGCCCTTCACAGTGGGGGCCAATGGAGAGCAGAAAGACTCGGACACAGGTACCAGACCTCAGACCAATCCTCCCAGCCCCTGCCCATCCCGGTTTCACACTGCACCCACTGAGGAGTGTTGTCATGACTGCTATGTCCCTCTGTCTAGAGCATCCCTGGGCAAGGAACAGCAAGCGTAGGAAACAGGTTTCCAGGTGTCACCTCCTCTTCCCCATGTTGGGCCCACGTGAAGCTAATAGCAAAGTTTCACTGTCGGGCACCATGCTTGTGAGCCTGCAGGTACCCTGCTCCGTGTTGTCCTCAGGAAGTTTGTACAGAGCCAAAACGTGGCTTACTGCAGGGTTACCAGGGCCCTTCGGTTTAAAAACCCAAAGGGACCATGAAAGTGAGAGGCAGCAGTGTAGTCTGCCTGCGTGTGGGCGGGTCTGAGGGTGCAGAGCAGGAGTGGCAGGTGTGGGGTCAGCACCCCTCAGTGTGCATACTCCCAGGTTGATTCTATCTTGAGCTGCTCAAGAGTGGACAGCACAGGCCTCTGCTGCTAGTCTGCATTTCTCCCCCATTTGACTCAGAGGCCTCTCCACCCTGCTGGTCATTTGCATTTTCTGCAGCCCTGAAGGGGAAGATTGGGAGGCAGTATAACACCAAGGTAGCCATGAGGCCTGCTCACTGAGAGCACTGGACTCTGTTGCTGACTTCCCCAGACTCCAGGAAGACAGCCATAGGAGGAGCAGAGGCCCTGTCCTGGGTGGGAGGCTGGGGGCTGAAAACACAAGAGATGAGATGAGCACATGAGGATAAATATGCATTCTCAGTTACGGGAAGGAGAGTGGGCAAAGGCAGCCCTTGAAAATGAGTGTTACATCATAGCTTTTACTGGCAAAGTCTGGGAAACTATGGTCTTTGGGGTCTTATGGTGGTCACAGGTCCTTCACCACCCCTCCTAGGCATGGTGCTCCACTGAGCGTGCCCACGGGAACTGAGCAAGACTGTGATTAGAAGCTAGGAGAGTAGCTGCTCTTTGGCTGGGATGTGAGGAGGTGGTATGGACTATTCACATGGTTTCTGTTGTTGTGCGGCGTGTTTGGGGACCAGAGGTTTGCACAGACACTGGGGTGAGGCAAGGGATAGGGGTGGCACAGTTACCTCCAAGGAAGAGTAGGGGGATGGTTATGGTAGACATGCTGCATGTTGATGGCAGGCACCCCGGGAAAGAGCTACAGGCTGTTCTCCACCTTGGTTTCACCAGAATGGAGTGGCTGGAAACAGCTCCCTGGAGGCTTGTGGGGATGCTGTGCATCCAGAGAAAATCAGATCAGGCCTGAAAATCTTTTTCCTACTTTTGGTGCACTCCTGATTTGGTTGTAGCAGGGTATGGTATTCCCATCTGGTTTCTTCCTTTTTGGATAGTGGTTTTGTGAGGTTGTAATGAGGCCTCTCAGATGACCCTGCGCTCTGGAAATCTTGCTGTCAGTTAATGAGGCAAGTGCTGGTGCTTCTGCTGCCTTGCAGAGTCCTGTGACTTGCAAAAGGTGATGCTCATGCCTGGTCCATTGCCAAGCAGCCTAATCATTCTAGTGTAGGATGGCAGTACCCCGTAGTAGCTGCTTGCACTTCCCTGATGTGCCCATTTTGTCCAGGTGGAAAAGTCCTCCCCCAGGGGCTCCTGGAGGCCTCTGGGAACTCTCCATCAGAGGTGAGCATCTGTTAGGCTCAGGCCCACTGCACTCCTCTTGTCTGTGGGATCACTAGGTCATCCTCACGCATGTGCTGAGTGCCCACACAATCGTATATGCTCATACCGAGTCCTTTCTCTGGCAGGTGGAGCATAGCTGAATGCAGGGGAGACTCAGAACATTTTGAAAATAGAAGTCTCCAGGCAAGGCTGAGTTACAGAAATACATAAGAAATGTAATATTTGTCCTCCTATTCAAGGCTTATTCTTTCAGGGGCTGATTTTGATGTATTCTTTTACTGTACATCCATTTTGTTAATATAAAAATACTAGACTTCCCATGAGATGATTCTGATGTGAGTGTGCAGCACTACCTGTCCTGCAAGGTTGAGTTAATTAATTGATTGATTCATTCACTCATGTATTTTTACAGCAGTTGAGATCAAACCTGGGGCCTTTTGCATGCAAATGCTCTACCATTGAGCTACATCTCCAGCCCTAAACTAGGCTGTTTTGCTTTTGTTTGAGTTGGGGTCTTGCAGTATTACCCAAGCTGGTCTCTAGCTCCTGATGCTCTTGCTTCAGCCTCCTGAGTAGTGGAATTTTATGTGTGCACCACCACGCCTCGCTTTAGAAGGCTGAATTTTTAACCAAGATCCTTATACACTTGCAAATCTTTGTCTTCCTCTAGTGTATTCTGCACATTCACCTGTCACCTGTCTCATTCCCTCTACATTTCCTGGTGAGCTGGATTCTGGCTGCTGATCCCTCCCTACCCAATAGGAGCAGTGCTTGGGGTGGGATGGAGTGGGAGGCACACATCTCATCTGCTGGGTGCTGTGCCATGGTATCCACCGCCTCATGAGGGAAAGCCACACAGTGAGTGAGGCAAGGTTTGCACAATGCATTTTTTTTTAAATAAGGGGGTGGGGACAAGGCTGAGTGGTAGAACACCTGCCTAGCAAGTGCAGTGTCCTGAGTTCAAATCCTAGAACTGCCAAACAAAAGTTTATTTTGGTTCATAGTTCTGGAGACTGGGAAAGTGCTGGCATCTACAAGATTTTTTAAATCTTGATGACCAGGGAGTTTCTGTCTTGATCACTCTCTCATCTTTGATTTGTTCTCCTGATTGGGGGGGCTGGGGGTGTCCAGACCTTCCTTTGGGGGTGTGGCTTACCCACCCAAAGGGGATCCTGGCTCTGGAAGGTTATTATAGGCAGGTGCAAGGCCCAGTGAATTGCCCTAGGCATCCTGCTCTGCCATCCCTCCTGAAACGTCTTCCCAGCGCCCCCTGCCGAGAAACTTGCTAAAAGGTGAAGTAGGTGGAGCCCAGGAATGTAGGGATTACCAGGGAGTCAGCCTCAGGGTTCCTAGTTGAAAATAGTGGGTTTCCTCTGCTGTGCCCCCAAGTGGCAGGAAGCTGCCTAACTGCCTCTCAGACCACCAAGTGGCAGCAGGAAGGGTTTCCTGTTTCCTGGACCCTGCTACAGATGGCCCAACCCACTGGAAGTGCGGCCTCCCCAGTGCTTAGTCAGGGCTGGGGGCGGTCTGCCAAGAACAATAGTTCTGTCTGTTGTGAGTCAGGGCCTGGTCAAAAGCCAGTCCCATCAGTCTTTCTTCCCCCCTCCCGCTCCCCACCCCCTTCACCCCCAAGGTTATGTATCAGGGGGTACCTGCATTAGGAGCTGGACACTGTGTTTGTCCAGGTAGACATGAGCATGGTACAGCACAATTTCATCAGCCTTGTCCAGAAGCTCTGTATATGAACATGTCCACACCAGGCCTCTATTAGGGCTGGTGGTGAAGGGGAACATAGCGGGAGGGCACGTCCACAGCAGCCAGCAGCATGCTGATGAGCCCTCATATGCTCTGGCCAGGCTAGAAGCAGGTGTCTCTGTGGGGAAGAAAAGCAGCCCAGGGCCAGAGCCCATGGCTACATCTCCTCGAAGGAAGACACTCCTCAGGATCCTTTTCCAGACCAGGTCAGTGGGTGGGGGCGGGAGGGGCGGGGAGTGGAAGGGGATGGTCCTCTGCCCCTCCTGACTTGGTCTGGTCTCAGTTTAAAGAACTTTATTGCTGAAAATATTCATGATAAGATTGTATGCTGTCTAGGATTTATTTCAAATTATACCATTCTGCCTTCCTTTTTATATATTGTAAATTTTCCCATAACTTTAAAAATCTAACCAGGCATTGGTTGCTTGTGTCTGTGATCCTCAGGCACAAGATCAGGAGGCAGAGATGAGGAGGATCATGATTCAAAGCCAGCCCCAGGCAAATAGTTATGAGACCCTATCTCAAAAATTCTCAGCACCAAAAAGGGCTGGCAGACTGGCTCAAGCAATAGAGCACCTGCCAAGCAAGCGTGAGACCCTGAGTTTAAACCACAGTACGACCAAAAAAGAAAAATCTATAAATATTGTTACCTCATTATCTAATAAGTCAAGGGTTCTCACAGAAGCCTTCAAGACCATATAGGACACACCTTTAGAAAGCTGCCCAATCTGAGAAGTTTTGGAGCTGGCAGCTGCCTGTTCTTCTCACTGAATGCTTCTTTGAAGCAAAAGGAAAAATAAGTTTTCTTGTCAACATTTGAATGCTCTCACGTTCAGTGTTAGATCGTTCCTGAGACTTGATCACTCTTGGTTGCTCCTCTCCTGCGAGAGAGCCAGTGGAAGCCACTGGCTTTGTAGTACTTTGAAGCACTTTGTTCTTTGCTTGGCACAAGAGGTAACGAGTATATGCCGGTGACAGGAGGCTTCTATGAGTCCTTGCTCACCAGATGGACATCAATGATGGGCTGCATACTGACAGGTACTGGACCACAGTAGATGGAGAGCAGGGTCTGAGGCCTAGGGGCAAGTCTTGTGCTCGCTGGCGGGGAGTACAGCGTTGAAGGTGCCTTGGGAATGTGATGCACCATAGACCTCTGGCCCGAAAGGGCATGTCCACCCCAAGTGTGGTCCCTGGGCTAGCTTGGACCTCCTGGATCAGAACGAGTCCTAACAGGTTCCCTGCACACTTCTGTGCTCTTCATGGAGCACGTGGATTATTGCTCACACAAAACAGAGTCCAGCAGGCTGTGCCTAGCCCCACCCTGGTGACTCTACCCAGCAACTCCCAGGTATTAGGTGGAGGAGTCCAGTCCCTGCCAGTTCCTTTGTCTCCAAGGGAGACTGGCTGCAAAGGCCATGTGTTAGGTGGGACTAGTAACTGACCCTTCCTGGATGTCTTGTGAACGAGGGTCCATATGTGAATGAAGTTGAATTTGGTCATGCAGGAAAGAAGTTTAGGTGGTGGGTGTTGGTTTAAAAAAAAAAAAAAAACAGAACGAGGGTGAGGTAGCTAGAGTCCCATGCATGGCATGCTGGACTGC